AATGTTTAAATCTATTTTCGCCATAGTCGTAGGATAGAATTTTATCTAATTACCTACTTTTAGGTGTGACGGTGGTAAACTCAAACACTACAATGGCCACACATCAACAAGCCGGTTATCCCGGTCCGCAGCAGCCAGGTTATCCCATGCAACATCAACCAGGTTACTCGATGCAGCCACCACCCAGCTACCCAGCATAGTGAGTGGTCACTCCAGCAACGCGAAATCAGAATTTATCGTCGGATTTAATTTGATGTGAATTCAAATGATACAGATTAATGTCAAAGCTGATTTCTCATAATGACTTTTTCATTCTAAAATTTACATGGAAATATTTCTTAACACACTTTGTCTTACATTGTTTATATCAAGTATCTTTTCTGCAATTCAATTTCTATCAATTTCTACTAACAAAGTATTCAAATGGCTAACAGATTCTTTTATTTGCAAGCTACAGGAACAACGATTTAAGTGTAATTGTATATTCCCGGTGTTTACTTTCCTAAGATTGTATGCCATTCTTAAAATTTGTTTAACATAAAAGCAAGTTAAAAAAATGCGTCCTTTCTTTAGCAATGTAAATGTTTTGTTTCGAATTAGATGTAGAAAAAAGTGTAAGAAGTAACATATACAAAAATGAAGATTTGAGCCTTTAAAAATGAAAAAAATACTGGAGAACTGTAGAAGACGCTTCATAATAAAATTGAGTTTCTTTTTTCTGGGAGGGGCGTCTTCCTGTAAAAACTTTGATTATTATAAATGAATATTAAGAGTCCTTATTAGCTCACCTGAGCTGAAAGCTCAAGTGAGCTTTTCTGATCACATTTTGTCCGTCGTCCGTCCGTCCGTCTGTCTGTCTGTCTGTCCGTCCGTCTGCAAACTTTTCACATTTTTTACTTCTTCTCAAGAACCGCTGGGCCAATTTCAACCAAACTTGCCACAAAGCATCCTTGGGTGAACGGGATTCAAGTTTGTTCAAATGAAGGGCCACGCCCTCATTCAAGGGGAGATAATTGGGAATTAATGAAAATTTGGTGGTATGTTTTAAAAATCTTCTTCTCAAGAACCACTGTGCCAGGAAAGATGAAACTTATGTGGAAACATCCTCAGGTAGTGTAGATTTAATTTGGTCAAATCATGACCCCCAGGGGTAGGGCAGGGCCAAAATGGCCGACCAAAGTTTTACATAGAAATATATAGTAAAATTCTATAAAAATCTTCTTCTCAAGAATAACAAAGCCATAATTGATGATATTTATATGGAAGCATCCTCAGGTAGTGTAAATTCAAGTTTGTTCAAATCATGACCCCGGGGGTAGGGCGGGGCCAAAATGGCCGACCAAAGTTTTACATAGAAATATATAGTAAAATTCTTTAAAAATCTTCTTCTCAAGAATGGCATAATTGATGATATTTATATGGAAGCATCCTCAGGTAGTGTAGATTCAAGTTTGTTCAAATCATGACCCCCAGGGGTAGGGCGGGGCCACAATGGCCGACCAAAGTTTTACATAGAAATATATAGTAAAATTCTTTAAAAATCTTCTTCTCAAGAATAACAAAGCCATAATTGATGATATTCATATGGAAGCATCTTCAGGTAGTATAGATTTAAGTTTGTTCAAATCATGACCCCCAGGGGTAGGGCGGGGCCACAATGGTCGACCAAAGTTTTACATAGAAATATATAGTAAAATTCTTTAAAAATCATCTTCTCAAGAATGACGAAGCCATAATTGATCATATTTATATGGAAGCATCCTCAGGTAGTGTAGATTCAAGTTTGTTCAAATGATGACCTCCGGGGGTAGGACGGGGCCACAATGGCCGACCAAAGTTTTACATAGAAATATATAGTAAAATTCTTTAAAAATCTTCTTCTCAAGAATAACAAAGCCATAATTGATGATATTTATATGGAAGCATCCTCAGGTAGTGTAGATTCAAGTTTGTTCAAATCATTATCCCCGGGGGTAGTGTAGGGCCAAAATGCTTTTTACATATCAAATACATATCAAATCATCACCCCCGGGGGTAGGGCAGGGCCAAAATGCCGACCAAAGTTTTACATAGAAATATATAGTAGAATTCTTTAAAAATCTTTTTCTCAAGAATAGCAAAGCCATAACTTTTCATATTTATATGGAAGCATCCTCAGGTAGTGTAGATTCCAGTTTCTTCAAATCATGACCCCCCGGGGGGTAGGGTGCGGCCACAATGGCCGACCAAAGTTTTACATAGAAATATAATATAGTAAAATTCTTTAAAAATCTTCTTCTCAAGAATATGAAAGCCATAATTGATGATATTTATATGGAAGCATCCTCAGGTAGTGTAGATTCAAGTTTGTTCAAATCATCACCCCCGGGGGTAGGGTAGGGCCAAAATGCCGACCAAAGTATTACATAGAAATATATAGTAGAATTCTTTAAAAATCTTCTTCTCAAGAATAGCAAAGCCATAATTTTTCATATTTATATGGAAGCATCCTCAGGTAGTGTAGACTCAAGTTTGTTCAAATAATGACCCCCGGGGGGTAGGGCGAAAGTTTTACATAGAAATATAATATAGTAAAATTCTTTAAAAATCTTCTTCTCAAGAATAACAAAGCCATAATTGGTCATGGGACTACTTTTGGATTTAAACTTTTCAATAATAAACCAATTCTATTTTTTCCTAGCCGCAGTGCTCAGGTGAGCGATGTGGCCCATGGGCCTCTTGTTTATAAATGCCATACAATGCTAATGCTTTAGATACATACTTTAAAAGCAATTCAATATCTCCTATAACTAACCCAAGTTAAACTGTAGCCCATTCCTGTTGTCGGGGAGACAAAACATATTTTCGAAATTAAAATATTACAAAATTCGTAACTTGTCAATGTGATTGGTCATCAACAAAATTATTTTGTTAAACTTTCTGATTCTACATTAAAGTACTCTAATGCAGGGGCGTAGTATCCGGGGGGGGGGCCAGGGGGGGGCCTGCCCCCCCCCCCCCCACTTTTTTTCCCAACTTTACTTACACTATAGGAAATGTTAATTCAAAGCCTGTTTGGCCCCCCCACTTTTAGAAATGTACCGAAAATGTAGTATAAGTTTACCTACCCCCCCCCCCCCCCCCCCCCACGAAATAGGATTTTTGACTTTGTGCAACGTTTTCCTTTTTTTTTTTTTCTTTTTTTTTTTTTTTTTTTTTTTTTTTTTTTTTTTGGGGGGGGGGGGGGGGGGGGGGGGGGGGGGGGGGCCCCCCCCCCCCCCCCCCCCCCCCACTTTCAAAAACGATGCTACGCCACTGAATGTATAGTTAATATTAAAAAGACGTGTAGTTCCTGTTGACAACATTTAAGTAGTCTTCGGAGACAAACTGTTGGAATTCCGTTTGCTCTATTTGTCGAATTGTTTTTTATATTCCTATGAAGCAAAATTTTCAAAAAACTTCAAAATAGAAAAAATACACTGCTGTGACCTTAAATTTAACATTCAGATATACCGACGAATTAATAGTTACCTAAATTCATACCGGGTATATCAAATCGATATACATGTAACCTAGTGTATGGGCAGCGGATATATTTGCTTTAGTGTATATTTGTTCTGCGAAAAGGTCTGTTGCTTATGCATTGTACATCATTTGTTAAGTTTTTATGGTTATAGAAATTCAAAAAATTATTTATTTTCTCATTATGGTAATTTTTGCCCTTTCCGCTGCCCATACTATTGCACTTAAAAAGAATAATATCACAGTGCTGTCACATTTGGATGTTTTACTGACCATATACTTTGAGGGTCGACTAACAAGTAAATTGTATGATAAACAAGATTACTTCGGCGTTTCCATCGTAACCTTCCTTATTCTTGAAGTCTTATTTCGCCATCACCATACTGGTGCTTACGTCTTTCAACTTATTCCTAACTTAAAGGGTAATGGAAATGAATCGCAATTCTTTTATATGTTAGAGATTACGGCGAAACAAAATCAAAGAAAAAAACGCATCAAAATCTATGAACAATTAAGGGAGATATCGGGGAAAACCCCATTTCACACCTAAGCGATTTTCTGAATCGAGCAGTTTCGGGCCTTTGGCCACTGTGACGTTACTACATGGACCAGTCATTTAGAATGCTAAGAAAACACTGGAAGTTATGCTTATGTTTTTTAGCGATTCTTTTACTTTGAAGTGACTTAACAAGTAGAAGTTTTAAAGTGACTGTAGTATTAGTTTCAAGTTATATTTGTAACTAGTTTTGAGCAAAGTATTTTATATTCATTAGTGTTTGTAGATGATAGAAGATACCCTATAATAGATAACCGTCATCATCGCACTTGCTGAATAATGATTCATCGTAAATTAACGTTTTTTATGATTGTTTTCTATATCGTATCGGTAACCCTTTCTTTCCTTGAATATATTTAAAACCATCATAACATTATATACTAATCGGTAATGAAAATTTAACGACCTTCACGGGACATAGACGTTTACAACAAATTCTACTTAAGCCTAGCAATTTCATTTGCATGCACCCTTAAAATTCCTCCAACCTCCCTCTCCCCGAAAACAGCCTAAGAATTTTTGTATTTATTTTTTTTTTAAATATAAATCATTTTTGTAACAAATAGTAACATTACAATGTGTTTCATATATACATGAAAAGTTTGAACAAAAACCCTAAAACAATCATTCTATAAAAATATATGCCGACTGTACACACAGGAAGCAAGACAAATAATACCTATATATATATTCTAAATGATATTCCATATAGTACTTCACGATAAAGATAGTAATTGATTTTTTGGTTGTAAAACATTGTAAAGTACGTATGACACAGTCGAGGGTATATAAACATTTTTACTTTTGGACAGTTTAGTCTGCTATACCATGTCAACACTGCGTATACTTTTCACACTACTAAGAGCATAGTATGATTTTCTGTGATGTTATTGTGATCAGACTATGTTTGAACATTTATTCTAATAATTGTAAACGGATTTATTTACACATATGTATATGGCACACAATCAAGAAAAATTAAAAATATAACAGAAAGACAACCAAAAACTGAATGGATTTGAATTCTAAATATGTACTTATTTTCTTTCTCTTCAAGGCAGAGGAATACCTCAGTGTTCATATACACGACGTGTAACCAACTACCGCTTGTAAAACGAGTATCTGGGAGTAAATTCCAGTTGTCCATATATCTGTCCGTTTTCTCCCCCCTCGTCCCTCCCGATGTTGGTAGGGCCCCAGATCGACTCAGTGAAGCTAGGATCAGCTGCAGGATAAATAATTTGAACTCCATAAACAATGCTTTAAGTTTAGAATTCATATACATGTAATTATATCTTTTTTTGCAAGAGCTTATAAATATCCCCTCGAAACGAAAGTTGTAGTAGATAAAGTAACAATTAAGCTTATGTGTGTGTGAGGGTGTGGGTGGGTGAGTGAGTTAATGCATGCGAACAAAAGTTGCGCAAGTAGTAATTGATATCGGGATGTGTTCTTTTCCGAGGGCATGCTCCGCTTTGCGGTGCCCTTTTTGATGACCAGAGATGTATATACTTGTAAACAAAAGACACAGTATATTAGTTCTTTTCTAACTACCTATAGCCAAGGCACGTAGTATCGGGGTGGGGCTGGGGGCTGCCCCCCCCCCTTCCCCACTGTTTTTGAAACATGTCTTTTGACTGTTAAGTTAGTATGATTATGTTCATTGAAAGGTTCTCCCTCCCACTCATTTTTTGTTGCAGCATAGATGATTTTTTTCATAGAAATGTTTTAAAAATTTTCTTGTCGAAAATGATAAACCACCACCCCTAAGTCCAATTTTTTTTTTCAGGTAAGTTTTCAATTTTTTTCTGCCCCTTCTTTCAAGAAGCGATGCTACGTTCCTGTAACCTGAGGTTTAGTTTACTTTTAGGGTATCACAACAGCAGTGAACAAGCAGTGTTCAAGAGTTGTGAACATATGTAAGGTACCAGTACTTGTAAAATTGATAAAACATACGCATTAATGGTGGAGCGGATGGCTGAGTTGTTGAATTTGCCTGTTGAAATTGCTGTACCACGGATTGCAGTGGAATTGTTCCTATGATAACTTCAGCTGGGATTTGTAAGTTGAACGACGGTCCAGAGGGGTTTATTGAAAGCTACAGAAGAAAATCTGAATTTTATCCTGGACCATTTCATCCTCATTTTATAGTGATATTTTACAGATGAATACTGTATCACATGTCAAGGATTCATTATATCATCACTTTACAGTAATTACTCCAGTTTTCTTACCGTTACCAAATATTTGATCTTGATGAGAGAGCACCCTCCCAGGTAAGAAGGTGCCAGAGGCGGAATCACAAACCTATCTCCACTCCAAACCTCTGACTGACCAGGAGGCAAATCTTGGTGCTTAATACGATTGATTACTTTCGGTAATGTCATTGTGCTTTTCCTTCCTTGCAAGTAGGCAGTGTAGTTTGTGACCTATTAAATAATCAATACCTTTTATTTTAATAGAGAAGATTTTACTGAAACACAACTTTTTGGTGATTGAAATATGTATATTTACACGTGTAACTTTTCCATAAACGTACAGGATAATCTTTATGTAGAGAGACGACAACAAAAGTTAATACATTGGCTTGGTTATCTTATGGTTTGTGTTTCATAGGGAATTCCAAATTCGCCAGCTGTAGATTTAATTGAATTACTGGTCGGCATAGATAAAGTTTTATTTTATAAAAATACAAAAAAGCAATATAATTTAAGGTCGCGTACCATTTGTAGATCAGCATACATACTACAAACCCGGCTGGTATTATTCTGAGCACTTGCTTCGAAATAAATTGACTCCCCAGGAACATATCCAGTTCTATTAAGTTTCAACGTTCCCACGATAGGCCCTGATTTACAACATAGACAGCAAAGGTCTTTCGAGTTCTGAATTTCTATACCGTTCTGAAAAAAGAGAGCATAATTTTCCACATACATGACAATTAATGCATGCATAGAAAGTACTGGTACTTTGATTAGAAACACTTTCAATTACTCACAGCAACTGCTGGTTCTAGATTCAGGTCTAATGTTGTTAAGACAGTGAAAGGCCTAACACTGCGTAGATTGGATTTCCGGGGTCGGTCTATTATTCCTTCTACTTTGTACCGAACGTACCCGTGTTCTCCCTCGAAGGAAGACGGCAACTGGAGAGGTAACACGAACGTGAAAGGGAACACATGTTGTGCCGGGGGCAAACGGTGTAAATCACCTCCCACCAAACCTTAAATAGTTTTGGAACTGTTTAATATCATGATAAAAATGCAAAAAAACTTTTAAAAATATATACTGGTCAAAAAAAGAAACGCAAAGTAAAATTTTAGTGTCACATTGGAATACAGAAGTTACTTAAGAGAATGACATATTTTATAACAAACAAGTTCTGTAAACAATACAAGGTATGTCTACAATCAAAATGAAATAATCAGTGGTAAATATCAAGATCAAAGACAGTTCTATGTCATTAAAGATTTCTAACATGTATCTAGTATGCCCCCCCCCAACCCCGGACAAAAATGACAGCCTGACAACTCTTCCAATGGATGAAGTTGAGTGTCTGAGAACAGCCTACGGATGTTATCACACACTAACTGCAGAACTTGGACCGCCTTTTGCAGAATCTGGGGTTGCAGTTAGTTGTCTTTGTTGGATATACCTAGCACCCAATCTTCCCGATACTCAGTGGGGTTTAAGATGATCAAGACAGAATTGGATGTTGCGGCTTTGCAAGAATTATTTTTTCATTGTGGTTTTGTAAGAATGAACTTTTCAGACAAGCCGAATGTAGCCCTGCGCTGTCATATTTTTATACGGCTCCAGGATGCTGCATCATTGGGAAACATGTGGATGTAGGACTTTGCCAATGTACCGTTGTGCCGTCAAAGTCCTTTCAATATGAACCAAATCAGTCCTGCCTTTATAGAATTCCGTTGATCATATCATAACACTACCATCACTAAATATCAGTCTTCCAGGTGTAATTTTCTGCAAAACATTAATAATTAAGTACATACACTGACATTTCTCAATCTGTCAGGCTTGCTATAAATTATGGTATGTAACTGAACGAAACTATTCGCAACAGCGCTGCTGTGACCATACTCTGTTGGCCTGAGACCTTTGAAGGTTGTTTGTTGGAGGAGTTGCGGAGTCAGAACAACGCCATGAATAGGTCTGCTGACTCTTATTCCAGCATCTCGTAGTCGATCAAAGAGCGGTCTGTTCAGATAATCTGTATCTCAAGGAAACCTGATGCTGTAGACGATCTTGTCAAATTAAATGTAGATGAAGTAAATCATTGAACGATCCTGTGGTGCTGATGCATTGGCGGATCCGAGGGGGGGGGGGGGGGTCCGGGGGTTGGAACCCCTTTATTTTTGCCGAGGGAGAGAGAGAGAAGGAAGACAAAACGTTTTTGGAATTGATATTTGTACTTAGAACTAACATATAAACGTAGTTACGAACAGCTCGATTGGTTGCTCATATTTCACTTGCTATATCGGTAGAGTTCCGCATATTTCCTTCCCTCCATTTACCTTCACTATTCTCCCTTTCAGCGTTTTTATTTTTGAGAGAATGGTAGAACTATTCCACTTATATCAATATATGATAAGTTACATGCGGGGTATAATTTGATATCAGATTCCGGTGATCTTTGGTTATTATTAGTTATCCAGGTTCAATCAAGGGTGTACGGGGATTTACCCCGGGTTTTATTCCAAACACCCTGAGGCCGAAGAGGCCGAAGGGTGTATGGAATACAACCCGGGGTAAATCCCCGTACACCCTTGATTGGACCTGGATAACGAATTTATTTCCTTTGTAACCATAAAAATGCTTTGTAAACATCACTGTCGTGATCCCGTGCCGGATTGGACAAAACAAGATGGCGGCGGAAACAAATCGAAAAAGGTAGGTACCTGAGGTTTCGGTAAATATCCCCGTTAACCGTTAGATATGCGTGTTCCAAAGATACTGTCGAATTCCTAGTAAAATGCTTATTAGCGTGTTTAATTGCTACTTTTCCTATCGTCTCTTAAATTTGAACATTTAACGACTGAAGACTGCAAATTTTTCCGATTGAGTTTGAAGCGGCATGGAGTTGTTTTTTTCTTCGATTTTGACCGTTTTATACATCCAGCAGCAGGAGTGTGTCTTACAAATGATAATTTGGAGTAATTCTGACCTGGTGTTATATGTTTATTTGTTATAACTCATTTTCTTTCAATGATATTTCGATTTTAAAATATTGGCATGTGCTGGATTGGAATCGGTTAATTTTAATGGAAAATGTGCCGGATTAGACTGCATTTTTGGTGCGGGATTGGATGATGCTCACGATGGTCATTTTTTTTAATAACTTTTATATCTTTTAGTTTTTAAGCTTTGGATGCATCGTTAAATGAAATACCAGGAGGAGGAATTCAATATATACCTTATCTTACTGAAGGGAATAAAATATTCATATCAGGTATGGTCTAACCAAACCCACCCACCCACCCCCCAAAAAATAATTCTTTCCTATTTCTTTTTATCTCAGATTTTAATGTACCCATATTTCTTTTACAGAGACCACTGTGTTGATAAAACCGAAAGAGCTCACAAGTTGGGCCAGGAAAAGGAAAAGAGGAACCATTAGTAAGCCAGAGGATCTATCCGCAAAAGTGAAAACTCTTATTTAAGCGTACGAGAATTTCACCGTGCACATGAGGCTAAATTCGCAATCGCATCATCTAGGGTCTTTCCGCCAGGCGTCGGAAAATCAACCTCGAATGTATTAACATCACCGGATGTTAAAAATATACACTTCCTGTTTATTTAAATATATGACTGAAGGGGTTAGAAGTCCCTCCCTTCTCTTGTATATTTTAAGTAATAGCATTGCATTCAAAATATATAAACTCCATACTCCACAGATAAGATGTCTTCTAACATTTATTTCAAAGTTGGTGAAAGGGGGGGTTCATGGTGTCTATAAAGTACATTCGATCGAGGTTGTTTTTAGACTGTTGGTTGAAAAGGCCCGAGAATTTGCCATTGGCGAAATTCGGTCCTAGTTATAATAAACAGAGTACGTATGCTAGTACTATAGAGTACTTTAGAGTACGCTGGAAATTTTCATAAATTTATTCAATTAAACTTGTGTATGTTTTACTACATTAGTTTAACATAATAAACATATCTTTTAGATAAAATGTGTGTGTTCCTTTTTTAATGTTAATTGGTTTCAGGTTACGGTTTATTGCTTGGTCCCGATGATGTTGTAATATATCTTCAAATGCTAATTGTTTCATTGTTAATGTGTAAAATATTACATTTTAAGTAAGGCAATTAATTTAATTTTTGATTAAATAAAATTTAGTTGAAATTAATAAGTTTGAAAGAAAATACAAATGAAGCAATCGAGATCGGGGTGTTTATAACCTTTAATGCATTGAATCATGGATCTAAAATATCGCTAAAAATACAAATATTTGAGATAAATGTTGCAATATTATTTTCATAATACTGCAATATTGATCATTTTGACGAGGACTTTATAATATGGAAAGTCATAATTCTTACAGCTTTTTCAGTTTTCAACTTTTTGTATTAATACTAGTAATTTTTTTATCAATATCAAATTCTAACCAGAGCTTAAGTTATTTTTAAATGCAACTTACTACTGTACAAAACCAAGTACATGTTCGAGTAGAGTTCTAGATTGTTTCTTCTTTTATTCGGCAAATTAAATGAACTTACCGTAAAATTGCTTACAATAAATTTTGGTAATATAGTAACTTGCTAAAGATAAAAGTGTCAATAGGGACAAATGCATTCCTTTTTTCTTCTACGGGGAAGAGGTATTAAAAAAAAAGACGAAGAAAATTACTGACATTTTTGGTAACATTTAATAAAATAACAGTCATCTTCACTTTTGGTGTCTAATGAAAACAAACAAAAAAGTAAAATACGTGAAAGAAAATTAATCTAAAAACTCTTTGATACATTATACATGTACATGAGAGAAATCAGTGCAATTGCTTTGGATTTGAAATTATCATGTAACCAGTGTAAGTAATTAAATGTTTCAGTTTCAATGTTTTAATTATTTCTATTATGTGTGTTTACGTTTGTGTTGTCATGTGTGAATGTCCACGTGTGAGTGTTTATGTTTGTTAGGTGTGACGTATTTGACCATTTCCGGTTTGACTAGTTTCTTTCTATTAATAACTTCTCACTAACTTTCCCGCGGATAACAATATTCACGCACACTCGGCGCTACACCCTTGAAGGGAATAGTCACCTTTAATATTAGTAGCTGATTTATATAGTGTGCCTGGTAAATATATTTATTACTTATCTATATCTTATTATATTTGTAATTTAAAAGTAAAGTCAGTAAGGATTTGTAAATGTTTATTAATTATAATGACTTTATTTCAGGTTTTTCTTATATTATTACCATCAATAAATACTGGTCAAACTACCATATTGACTTGATTGTGTCTTGATGTAATAAATGAACCCAAGTATTACCGACATGGTCTACAAATGGCGCCCACGATAATTGGAAAACCAGGTATACAAGACTGAGGATCCATAGAAAAATCCCCGGGGAGCGGATTGGCGAGAAGGCGGACTTAGAGAAGTCGCTGACCTTTTCATTTCCATTCCAGTGAATTATAGGCCTATGCTACACTCGACGGTATAACCTGTGTGTCTATGTGTGTATTGAATTCATATGGACCTATTCTAAATCAGCTGTGAGTGTTGTGTTGTGTTTGGAGCTGGTCGAACGTTATTGTAAAGGTGTGTTCGTAACAGTGTGAATTCACAGGCGGATCCCGAGAGGCGAATCCGATAACTTCCGGAACCGTGACGTCACAGTTATGCGCGCAGCGAACCAATGACCGACCAAAATGGAGTCTTCTGGACAACGTGATTCGTGAATTAGTCTGCGGAGCAAAGGTACTGTAAACAATTGTGCATACAAATGGTCATTTTCTCATGTTATTCTATGTGCATTTATGTCATATTTGTTTGTGCAAGTGATTGTCTTAGTCTTATGTATTGTCTGTACTGAATACTGAGGACTAAGTGTAAAAAGGGAATTCCCAAGGTCTATTTTTGTTTCTATTTATAGTAAACAAATCTGTTTGTAAACTTTTGGCTGTAGTAGTGTATTTTTTTTCTTTTTCAGGTTGATAATTGTTTGTTTTTGCAAATTATTTTTGTATTTATTTATATTTTTTTCATTGTAAGTTCAATATCTATACTTTATTTATTTATTTATTTCTAGGTTAAGCTGAAATTTTATTTAGGTGTTTGTAAATTAATTTAGGTAGCAGAAAGCCGAGTTCACTTTCTAACCAGCATGCAGGCATTGCACTAATCAATCTAATTTCTTTCAGTCCAGTTGATCAGTAGACAGACCTACGGAGCAGAGAGTTATTGTGTGTGTGTCTGTATGTATTGTGAGTGTGTTAGTGGTTTTGAATTTTAGGAATTTCATCAGATGTCTGAGATGATTATGTACAGAATTATTTAAACTGGGTATTATAAGTTGAATTAATCCATCTTTAAAGTATTCAACAGTAAACAACTAAACATATTACCAGGTGACTTACTAAGCAGTTGAATAAGAGTTATTACATCAGTTAACAGTTGCTGTGTTGTATGTTGAAGGTGTAATGATCTATTGTTGTTTTGAGGTGCTCAGTTAAACAGTTGTATACTCAGTTGTTGAGTTGTAGTTGTGAATATTTATTTTATATCAGTTCAGTGTACAGTAGTGTTCAGTTGGTGTAAATATTTGCTGTGAAGTGACAGAAGTTGTTAGTAGAAATGTCTGATCAAGATAAACAAAAGGGTAGTGAGGATGTGTCCTCAGCAGAGGAAAAGAAACTTGATTTTGCTGGTGTTGCAACCAGTACCCCCAAAACCACAAAAGATGGTAAAGATGGTAAAACCACAAAAGATGGTAACCCTTCAAAAACCACAAAAGATGGTAAAACCACAAAAGATGGTGACCCTGTTAAAACATCAAAAGTCAGTGACCCTATAAAATCAGAGGTATCTGTACCTTCAGAACAGAGTGCAAAACCAAAGGTATCTGTACCTGATTACAATGCACCAGCTTTGCACCAGGGACAGAAACACAATCCCTTTGCAAAGTTGGCATGTAATTTTGGTGACACTAGTACTAGCAGTAGCAAACTTCAAAATACCTTTTATGACAAAGATGGTAATAGCATTAATCAGGTGTATGAATTTAATACAAACATCCCAAGAATCCCACAATTTTCAGGGGATGACCCTCCTCAAAAGGGGGATGTTTCGTACAAAGAATGGAGATTCGAGGTACAGTGCCTGATGCGTGACCCTGATGTTAAATCAAATATTCTGATACAAAGTATTAGACGGTCATTAAGGGGTACAGCAAAAACAATGTTGATTCCGTTAGGTGAGAAAGCAGGTGTTAAGCAAATTTTAGAGAAACTTGACATTTTGTTTGGTGAAATTTCCAACAATGGCATGATTATGCAAGAATTTTTCAATGCTTATCAACTACCGGGTGAGTGCGTAACATCGTTTGGTTGTAGACTGGAGACTATGTTACAAAATGCTATCGATAGTGGTTATCTTGATCGTGCATCTAAGAATGACTTGTTAAGGCATAAGTTTTGGACTTCATTAAGTTCAGAGAAGCTTAAGGCTCAAACGAGACATAAATATGATGACATCAAGAATTATGACAGGTTGTTGTTAGAGATTAGAAGGGTAGAAAAAGAAATTTTGATAAGTTCTAGCATTTCAGAGAAAAAGCCAGTTGATGGGTTGTCTAGGAAGCCGGAGCTCTTCTCTGAGGCTATTAAGGCCATATGTCAGTCTGTATTATGTGGTGTTCCATATTGCCAGACTATTGTAGATGACTCGTTATCAGATTCAGCTAGTTTTGAGGATGAAGAATCCCATTATCTCAGTGACATTAACTGGAGAAGAGAGCATTTGTTGGGTGAAGATTCCAATTGAATTAGAGGACACAAAACCGTTTAAACAACCGTATCGCAGAATTCCTCCGGGTAAGTGTTAATCCGGAAGGTATGAACAAGGATCTAGCAAGAGTTATAGAGTTGAAGAAACAAGGATTTTATCCCAATAGAGTGAAGATGAAGAAAGAAGATTATTCAGGCCAGAGATTTTTCCGGGAATGGAAGAAACTTTATTTGAAAGATGGAATTCTCTACAGGAAGGCAATTATAGATGACAGAGAGGTAAGTCAGCTGGTGATCCCTGAGGTATATCGGGAGGTAGCTTTCCAAGGTATTCACAGAGATACAGGTCATCCTGGGAAGGAAAAGACATTGTGGTTAGCTAGGCAAAGGTATTTTTGGCCAGGGTTGGAAAGGGAGATAATTCAGAAAATAGATAATTGCCCTAGATGCATAAGGCGCAAGACGCAAGCAAAGCCTTTTGCTGAGTTGGTTCCGATTGAAACTACACATCCAATGGAGTTGGTTTGCATTGATTTTTTGAGTCTTGAGAGAAGTAAAGGAGGGATGTGGTGTTCCATCTAGTTTTGAGGATGAAGAATCCCATTATTCAGTGAATATATATTGGTCATAACAGACCATTATACGCGCTTTGCACAGGCCATACCGTGCCGGAACCAGAAGGCTACCGTGACCGCAAAAGCCTTATATGAGAATTACTTTTTACATTATGGATTTCCGGAAAAGCTACATAGTGATCAGGGCAGGAATTTTGAGTCTAAAGTTATAAAGGAGCTCTGTAAGCTGCTAGGAATTCAGAAAACCCGCACGACACCATACCATCCTATGGGCAATGGATCAGCAGAAAGGTTTAACCAGACACTTTTGAAGATGCTCGGAACCCTGGATCCCAAACAGAAGACTGACTGGAAACAACATGTTGCTCCCTTGGTTCAGGCATATAACGCTACAAAGAGTGACGCAACAGGTTTTTCCCCACATTACTTGATGTTTGGATGGAGTCCAAGACTTCCAATTGATTCTTTTCTTGGACTAGACCCAGGAAATGAAGGCGATGTTAATCCAAGGGGATATGTGGAAAAGCTGCAGCAGAGAATGAAATCAGCTTATGCAATAGCATCTCAAGAGGCAAGAAAGTCAGGTTTAAAGAACAAACAGAGGTATGATATGAAAGTAAGAGAGACAAAGTTAGAGCCTGGGGATAAAGTTTTGGTAAGGAATGTTGGACTAAAGGGTAAGAACAAGTTGGCTGACAAGTGGGAGGAAACTATTTATACTGTTAAAGAAATGCCAAATCCCGATGTTCCTGTGTTTAGAGTGAAAGCTGAGGGTAAAACAGGCAGAACCAGGACTCTGCATAGGAATATGCTTCTTCCTTATTCTGGTTTACAAGAGGGGGAGGAAATACAGTATAAACAACAGAACAGTAGACGGAAACAGACAAAGAAAGAAAGCGTGGATAGACAGGTGCCAGCAGCGACAATTGATTCATCAGATTCATCAGAAACAGAGAGTGATATAGAAGATTGGACTGTGAGAAGAGTCGTGAGGACCAGATCTATGGGAGAAAAACCTGTACAGCCCTCATCTATTCAAGATGTTTCATCAGTAGTTGATGAAGGTCATAGTTATTCAGGTATTAATCTAAGTGACAATGATTTCAATAATGGTAATTATTCTTTATCATTTCAGTCCTCAGGGGTTAACGATTCAAGCCATAGTGGAAATGAGCCAAGTCCAACTTCCGAGAGTGTACCTGATGTGTCACAGGAAGCTATGCCCGTACGACGGTCAACGAGAATTAAGAAGCAGCCAGACAGATATGGCGAATGGACAAGTTAAAAAAAAAAAAAATAATAATAGACAGTCGGAGTTAAGTGATTAGTGAATTCAGTGAATTCAAGGACTTCTTAAGTGAAGATAGTGTTTTATTTTTGTTTTTTATGACTTATGTGAATATTTTTCTAAATAAATGAATCTATGAATGAATTTAACTGATACATGTTGTTTATTTAAAGATAAACAATTGATACTGTAATTTTACAGTGTAACATTATTGAGCCCCCATCATCATTTGATACTTGATGAAATTTAATGTTTAATCTGAGATTGAATGGAACATATTCATTTGATATCGGTTGGTTCAGTAGATATGATTCTTGGACAGTAATGTCAAGGTCTTATGTGTCAAAGGTTTTTGGCAGGTTTGGTGTTCAGTGTCAGTGAGTTGTGTTTTGGTGATGCATTTATGGATTCACATGGTGTTTGATTATTTAATTTGGTTTGATTTTATTTTTATGCTTATTTGCTGGATTATTGAATTTGTTGCACATAGATATTGAGTTGATTCAGCACTTTGAATTAAAACATTTGCCTGATATTTAATTTCAGAGAATGTCAGGAGCCATTTAATAAAAGGGGGGAATATGTAACCAGTGTAAGTAATTAAATGTTTCAGTTTCAATGTTTTAATTATTTCTATTATGTGTGTTTACGTTTGTGTTGTCATGTGTGAATGTCCACGTGTGAGTGTTTATGTTTGTTAGGTGTGACGTATTTGACCATTTCCGGTTTGACTAGTTTCTTTCTATTAATAACTTCTCACTAACTTTCCCGCGGATAACAATATTCACGCACACTCGGCGCTACACCCTTGAAGGGAATAGTCACCTTTAATATTAGTAGCTGATTTATATAGTGTGCCTGGTAAATATATTTATTACTTATCTATATCTTATTATATTTGTAATTTAAAAGTAAAGTCAGTAAGGATTTGTAAATGTTTATTAATTATAATGACTTTATTTCAGGTTTTTCTTATATTATTACCATCAATAAATACTGGTCAAACTACCATATTGACTTGATTGTGTCTTGATGTAATAAATGAACCCAAGTATTACCGACATGGTCTACAATCACAGTATTCATAGATATACCTTATCTAAGACCCTAAAATATTTGGTTGTCAGTGTCTGTTCCTCAGACTTTTTGAATTTCTCTATGTCTGTTTTTGATGTGCCGTCGTAGGTTAAGTTGTAGTTCAACCTGTAGCAGCTGCCGTGGATATTGCATCAATACCTGGAGAACTCTGTGCTGTTGACGCGTTGTAAAGTGTCACCTCTACAAAACTCCTGAGTGCAGATCCTTAGATAAGCTATATTAAATTCCTCCTCCTGGTGTTCATTTAACGATGCATCCATAGTTTAAAACTAAAAGAGAAAAAAGGTTATTAAACTAGAGGTATTGTGAGCGATGAGCTCACTAAATGATACCCCCCGCCTCCCATATGGTTATAACTGGTGAAAAAGTCCATGTTTTCCTCTGGCTGGGAAACCCAAAATATGTGTCGGATCAAAAAGTAAAATAGGAGGTGCACAATGGCAATATGTAATAAAGATTCTGTGAAAGTTGCATCAAATTTCATTCAGTGGTATGAGAGGAGTTGCGGATAAGAGATGGTTACCCCAAAGCGTAACAGACGGACGGACAGACAGACGGACGGACGGAATTAACGATTACTATATACCATCCCGCTTTTCAAGCGGGGGGTATAATAAATGACCGTCGTGAGCATTATCCAATCCCGCACCAAAAATGCAGTCTAATCCGGCATATTTTCCATTAAAATTAACCGATTCCAATCCAGCACATGCCAATATTTATAAATCGAAATATCATTGAAAGAAAATGAGTTATAACAAATAAACATATAACACCAGGTCAGAATTACTCCAAATTATTATTTGTAAGACACACTCCTGCTGCTGGATGTATAAAACGGTCAAAATCGAAGAAAAAAACAACTCCATGCCGCTTCAAACTCAATCGGAAAAATTTGCAGTCTTCAGTCGTTAAATGTTCAAATTTAAGAGACGATAGGAAAAGTAGCAATTAAACACACTAATCAGCATTTTACTAGGAATTCGACAGTATCTTTGGAACAAGCATATCTGACGGTTAACGGGGATATTTACCGAAATCTCAGGTACGTACCTTTTTCGATTTGTTTCCGCCGCCATCTTGTTTTGTCCAATCCGGCACGGGATCACGACAGTGAACATCAGAGAGTGTCTCTCTCTATCGATTAAATAACTACGTACTAAAATGCATCGTGACGTCATGTTATTTGGTTTTTTTTATCATAGAAAATGCATGTATTGTGACGTCACATTTTATTTACACCCGGCTCAAGTCGGGTGCACGGATATTTACACCCGACTAACCAATCAAAGCTCGTGTTACAAGCTAGATAGGAAATAAATATGTTTATTTCGGATCATCTAACAAACTTAAATAAGTCTTAAAAGAGAATATGCATAAGGCCACAGTTAATTACGTGTAATTCTTTGTTTTATATAGGTTTTCAAAAACGCACCCAAAAACTTTTTCAAATTCTAAAAAAATCCCTTTGTATTCTATGGAAATCCTGCAAATCCATTCAATTTTAAGGCTACAGAAGTTTTGGGGTAGTCTCTGTTTTTTTATTCGGACTGGGGTTGGGGGGTTGGGGATTTACCTTCTCAAAGAATTAAGACACGTAATACAAAGCACGGCCTAAGATCTCTCCGTGTAAGGGTGTGTGTGTGTGTGTGTGAATCTATGTTCGAGTGTATGTGTGTAGGGGGGCACCACCCTGGACCCCCCCTTTTCAAAAATTGCCTGATCCGCCCCTTTGATGTCACATGGTCTGATTTATGTAGAATTTTGAAGCCTGAATTTTCTGAAGCAGAAACCAACTACAGTTCAGTTTTACAGGGATCGAATATTAAGATTATTCCAAAACAGGTTTTATTGTCCTTGCGTTCTGTACAATATCTGTTAGCTATAACCACAGGCCTTTGGATCGCTTTAAAAAATTTGTGTGTGAAAAAAATATTCAACGCCTCAATTTTTTTTCTGAGCGATCTAAAGGCCTGTAGCTATAACGTAAAGTAATTTGCATTCAAATGATTCATTTTCGGCTAAGTTAAATTGTATGACAATACTATTGTATATAATTTAGCTTAGAATAATTTCTACTATGCGTTTCTTTTTTTATTGTTCTCATTTTTTTTCTTTCAATCATTATTTTTTTTCAATTATTATTTTTTTAACAGTTTAACAGTATATATGATTAGTTTCTATATTTTATTTTTTCAGCATCAGGCCATTCCAAGTTTTTTCTCTGTTTAGCGTCCACTCATCTTTCAAAAACCTACCTATTCGCAAAAAACACACAAGTCAAAACATATTAAAACACAAGCTTTAAAGTCATAAAAATGACGTCCTTCAAATGATTTGATCTAACTAAACTGCTTTAATAGAAGAAATATCTATTCTTAAGCAAAAACAACGGATTTAAATGCTTACAATGCACCCAGTATAACTTACTGTACAGAATTATTTGGAGAAATTTACCAAATTCAAAAATGTCGACTAAATTTATCAATTTCAGGATTCCTGTTGTTGTGTGTTTTTTCTCATATAGGGTGTCAAAAACCAAGGCGCACGCGGACGCTAAACATAGAAAAAACTTGGAATGGCCTCATTTATCCATTAAGATGCTAATAATAAAAAAAAGTAAACTTAATGCATTATTGAAGTCCGTTTTTACCTTTCCCAAATACACATATTGTTACATCAAAATATTTTTGGTGGCCCTTGTAGGTGTAGTTTTCATCATCGGCCCAAGATACGTGAGCTGTTCCGTCGAACGTTAATCTAATTTCTACAAAATGTATGAAAAAAAATATGTTTTAGTATAATGGAAAAGTTGAGTATCGTGATATTTTGAGTTTATCTTTTCTCCTTTTATATATTCTAAGTAAATATAAATATGTCTCCACTTGGACGTAAATATGACAATAAATCTTCACATTTTATTTTACTTTAAAACTGCTGGAAAATTATTCCAAAAATATTGAGAAAAGCAAGCATCATAGGGGAAATTTTCTACCTATGAAAGATCATTAATTTCTTCAAAGAGAGGTTATAATCTGATAATATTGAAAATTTCGTTGAATTACTGAATTATCACTCTGCATGTTTAGACATCCATGTAAGTATATTTCCGTTGTTTTCGAATCAATGCATGAATGAGATCAAAAATGTATATATGAAAAAAAAAAAACCTTATTTAAAACGTGTGCGTTACAGATCTTTTACTATTCTTTTATATTAAGTAAGAAATTTTCCTGTTTACAAATAAAATTCAACCGTTTAATTGCGGAAACAAGAAACGGAGATATAATTGAATAGATTTTTTGATAAAGTCTTTAGCTTGTTTAGGTTATATAACCATGTATACAGAGTCAAATCCGGATAAAATCATAATTTTGAGAAAAATTTACTATGTTGCATCAATCCATGGAAATGCAATTAAGAAGGAAAATTTTCTACATAGCAGTCATTCCTTAGAGAGGGGATGTTGCAACTTTTCTTCCGTAGGGTAAGTTTTGTTTTATAGTAAATCTTCCGCGGGGAACCTAATATGCTATAAAATACCAGTATAGTATTATGGCGTGGGGGGGGGGGGGGGGTGAAGTATAAGGGGGGAATCTTTGATGAAAATATCGGTAAGTTATACCGAATGATGACAAGGGAGGACCTTTGTTGTAAAATACCTGTAAGTTATACAGTATGATGACAAGGGGAGGGGGGGGCTTTGCTTTAAATTTCCGGTTTGTTATAAAGTATGATGACAAGGGATACCAGTGTTAAAATAACCGGTAAGTTATACAGTAGGATGACAAGGGGGCCTGTGCTTTAAAATACCAGATTGTTATAAAGTATGATGACAAGGTGGAACTTTTCCTTTAAAATACAGGTGTGTTATAGAGAGGATAATACATTCCCTTTTCCATATCACATCCTGTATCAGCCCGAGACAGTATCAACCATAGGGCTGATATTGATCAAGGGTTGATAAATGATGTGATGTGGAATATAGTATGTTTTATTACCGTCTTCCTTGGAAGACGGTATTATATAGTTGAAGTTTTTTACAGTCTTCGGACTATGCACTTCCTCTCTTCTGTGATTGGTAGAAATTACATGATGAGAAAATTTTCAATTATTTCATTGGTTGAAATGCTGTTCAAGGCAAGGGAGATAACTTTCTGATGGTCTAATTTTCGTACGACTTAACAATTTTTCAATATTTCCAATCTTAAAAAAATGACAAAACGAACAACAAAATCAGCAGTAATTAATTCTTAATAACATTATTTTTAATAAAATAACTGAACAGGTCTCTTTATTTTCATCAAGTTTCAAATAAGATTTGATTTTTATATATTGCTTGATGGCTTTACAATTTGCATTTATTCTTTTCCCCTTATTTGTTTGAAGAGAAGGTAACATTTAACGGAATCAGCCGGGGTTTGCCGAAGATCTCAGTCAGTTTACGGAGATGACCGAGCGACAACCGCGGTAGGGCTAATACCAGTAAAAATCTAAAGTAGAAATACGAAATCAAGAAATTCAAAAGAATTATACGACTTGAAAGATGTAGATTAGTTTATTGTTTAAGGTTGTCGCTAAAGACGGCAAGCTTTTTTAAAAAGCTCTACTTGTTATATTATCCTTAGTAGTAAATACACTGACTCTACACTGTGCAATACGAGTGACGTCACAATACCTCATATCAAGGACCGGTCTGAAAAATATCACGTATCGGACCGGCGTTAAAAAATATCTATCAAACCGGAAGTAACGTTTGTATATAAAGTTTAAAAGTTAATTATTTTATTTTATTTAAATATACGTGTAAAATAATTCTTTCTAACATTTGTGGACTTAATTTGTTTTCAAAGACCAAATATTGGTTCTATTAGATTTTAAAGAAAAGTGTCATAAACATGCACGAAACATTCTTCAATGACTTTATGTGAACTCGCATAATTATGAAGTATTTAAAATATATGATAAATAGAATACTACATAATAAAAAATCCATATCATATGTCATATTAGCCCTCGGGCCCCATATCAGCCCTCGGGCTGCTATGGGGCCACTCGGGCTGATATTAGTCTTTATAAACTGGATGTTTCTAAAAACGGATACTGCAGCTGGTTTTTATTACTGTGACATCATAATGCAAATGACATAACAATGCCTTGTATGAGAAGGTACTGAGTGTTAGAAAAAAGGGTTTTAAGACATTTCCTATTAACTGATAAAAAATAATAAAACAATTGTAGTCTTTTGATTCGGTACAATCCCTCGATATATAGACCTTAGAGAAAGTATATCTTTATATATATTGTTAGAACAATCTTCTTTTTTTCTTACATCAAATGAATGAAAATTAAATTATAAGCAATGAATTTAATAGCTACCCATTTTATACGGTATAAACTGGGTTGGAACAGTTTACGCTTTTTTTTATAAACCGCTTCGCGGTTTATAAAGCCTAAACTGCCCCAACCCAGTTTATACCGTATAAAATGTGTAGCTATTAAATTCATTCCTTAAATATTATCTAAGAAGATTATTTTCGTAATTTTCATTGGCTGAAAGGACGTCACGTGATATTCCCCCTTTTGCGATATTGACACGAAAGCGCTTCGGCGGAAAATGATATCGCACGACACAAGTTCAATCCGATGCACTGAAGTTACGTAGAACGTGACGTCATAATATAAGAAGCGTGTTTTTATCCACTGTGACGTAATAGCAGCCAAGTCTGTATAGTTAGGACTGTGTCAGTGCATTAACTTTGAGTGATTATATAATATAACTATTATGGACCTCAGTGAACGGTCAGTATGTGGTTATAAGGACTCATGGCAATTGATACTGACCACAGACACAGAAAATGATAGCGACCTCGCAGGCTCGGTCGCTATCACTTTCTGTGTCTTCGGTCAATATCAATTGCCATGAGTCCTTATAACCACATATCGACCTACAGTGAAGTATGTAATTGGATGTGATGACAAGGGGGAGTCTATATTATAAGATACCGGTAAGTTATACGGTATGATGACAAAGGGTCACACAGAGGCTTTAAAATACCAGTTTGTTATAAAGTATTATGACAAGGAGGAACTTTTGTTATAATTACTCGTATATCATAAAGCTCTTATCTATTGAGAAGTTGATGACTCGTTTTAATACTCCCCCGAGTATTAAACCGAGCCATCAACTTCTCAACAGAGAATATTATAAAGCATGATAACAAGGGGGACCTTACCAATAGAATACTGATATGTTATATATAGTACGATGACAGAGAGACCGGCCGATTGGATGTATTGATGCCACTGAACACTGGATGGGACCACAAAAGGGGTTCAAATATTTTCAAATTAAGAAAAATAAGTTAGGAATAAAGTATACTGTTTTCCTTCATTTAAAAAAAATCTCCCCAGATCTACTTATGTTTAATATGATGTAAAACAATCTCATAAAAAAAATACCACGTATTTCCATATCTGTTTCCAGATCAATGATTGCTCTTCCAGTGACAGATTGTCCAGGTGTATATACGCCGAGTTTCTCGTCCAAGTCTATTTGGAAGGACCTCGACTTTTCCATCTTGTAGTTTAAAAAGCTGTACCTTTTAGCAGAATTTTCTTGTAAATAATTGCTGAACAACTGAAATTCTAAAGTAGCGAGAATCAACTAAATAATGTTTAATTTCATACACTCTTATCCACTTTCGTTTTTTCCAAACTAAAATATACATGTATAATTCTTGTTCATTTAAAAGTCATTGAAAGATTTTCATCAAAATCAAAATTTTTCTACTTGGACAAAATTATTTAGTGGCATTTAATACTATTTATGATGAAACCTACAGCGGTGGCTCATAATATTATAAACAAAATGGCGTCCCCATTGCGGTTAAAAAGAAATGGACACTTTTATTTACCTGTAATTCCTCTCAGTATGCATGTTTAAACAAAAAGGGCACATGACTGGGTAAAATGACGTATTACTTTATAATAAGATATAACGTATCATGTTTGTGATGCAATTATATACTTTATTTTGTATGTAAACAGAGAATGGGAAAGGCGAAAGATTTATCACCAAGCTTAAAACAAAGGATCGTAAATAGTTTTCAGAGTGAAATAAAACAATCAGAAATTGCAAAGTGCTTAGGACTAAACCGATGTACAGTTTGTGCATTGATAAAGCGATATCAGGAACGGGGTTCGGTGGAGAATAAGCCTAGAACGGTGAGAAAGAAAAAAAACTTAGTGACGAACGATCAATTTTGAGGTTAGTAAAAACATATCGTGTCGAACCTCTGAAAGAAATCACTGCCAGATGAAGATTTGCTAAATTACAAACTTTCCGGGGGAAGTTTCATCATATAGAAAAACTTTCCCGAGAATATCTGCAAGAGAGGATTTTGCTATAGAACACTGGGATGCGACTTTTTCGTTAATAGAGATTTGTTTTCAAAAGTGGCAAACCGAAATTCAAGAGGGACAAAATACAAGATATGTATGTACCTCTAACTGCTTTGTTTATTCAATTCATGCAGACTTTTGGAGTAAATTCAGGATGTATAAAGAAATCCCTTCTTTCACAGATGACCACATACTTTAGTCTGGGGTAGTTAGGGATAAATTTCATGAAGTAGCATAGCTCGATAGGTTATATGATTAAATGCACCGTGTTAAAGAGAGAATCAGCTGACAAATTAAATATTAATACAAGTATATTAAAACAATCAATAAATTTGGAATCGTTATGGGCCTTTTTTTTTATAATCGGAAGTGGGAAAACACGACTGATGATAAAAAAAAATGCAGAGAAAAGCTGGTACTGACAATAATAAACGGTATCTTGCACAAAAACTGGGTAACCAGGAAAAATTGCCATGGAGACTACAAAGTATTATCTTGTTAGTTATATTGAATAATTCCGAAGTTGTGTTACAAGTTGATGCATACATGTACCCATGGTCCAAATTAAGGTTTTAAGCAAAGTTTTAAATAAGTAGGATTTAATTCAATAAGCAATATCTTTTTTGATTTATATCAAAGTTTTTAAATGATTACTTTTCCTTATAAGTAACTTTATAGTTTTATTTTTTTTCATGTTTGTAAGTGAGATCCACTCTCATTGATTAACATTAATTCATGAAATACAATACCAAGTCAACTGTATGACCGTAGCTCTAGGTAATGTTTATATTTGACATGTAAATAAACATATACATAAATAAGAAAAAAAATACATAAATACGTAAAAATGCGATTCTTTTCATTTCCAAAAGTGCAAAAATTAATATGGCTCCAATGGGAACTTTGGTATTGGAAGACATTTATTAAAATTAAAAAAATTGATATAAATCAACACTTTGTATATAATATCCCCAATATGTTTTGTCTAACATGTCATTGATCTCCAAAAAGGCTGTTTTATGGTTTGAGCTACATGTACAGTAAAATTTTAAATGATGGAGTACCCTAGTATATATACACATGTATAATTCAATTTCTTTCACCAGATTAAGCCATTCATAAAATGCCATCACTAATCAGTTTTATGTTTTATAATAAAGTTATATTGATGGCAATAATTATCGTACATACAGCCAGGTGGGAACAAGACAAATGCAAAATATATAATTTACCTTTCTCACTCCAGTTTTCCGGAATCTATCGCCTACAGGGGGAGAAAGTCGTCACGTAAACTCACAGAATAAATGCAATAGTGCAATAATGCCAAGGAATATATGTACCTTAGTTAGAAGAACTCCTAAATTTGGAATATGACAAAAAGTCACCTGATTATTCCAATCACGAGTTATCTAATTTGTAAATAGACAGATTTAAATTCCTCTAGATCGGTACTGATTCGATTGTCTTTGGGGTTTTAAAGCCTTAAGGAAATCAGTAAACCATTTTTGGAGGTTTTTAAAATCATCTTTAAGATATATCTAAATATAGCTTAAATGGAATTGGAACAATAATTAGCATTTCCCAATTCAATGATTTTACAATGTTTTTGAGGGGAAAAAATCATAACCAAATGTACCTTTCTGGAATATTATCAATACTCAGTATTTATGTTTTTTATAACATACACTCCAGTAAGAGAGATTAAGTACTTTATAATTCTACAGGAAACCAAATGTTGCTAAAAATAAAATGCTGTAATTTTTTTTTTATGTATGAGATGTTATTTACGACGGCGTATTCGTGCCATATTGACAATGTTGAAAAACTTTTAAAAATCGTTTGAACGATTTATAAAATCGATTGAACGATTTATAAAATTGTTTGAACGATTTAGAAAGTCGTTTGTACAATTTTTATTTCTTGTTATTACACGTAGAAGAAGCGTAGTATAAAACCTTGCACAAGTAGAAAATGTATTCATGCATAGTTTTAATGAATGACACTATGGATGACAGAGAAAAATTGATCAAGGGATATTTCAAGATGGGTTTCACTTTTTCGGAAATTGCACACATCCTTTCGCAAACTCACCGAGTCTTTGTTAATGAACGAACGTTGCAAAGGACAACAGCTAAGTTGGGACTGTTCACACGTAAAAACAAATCCGACATAAGGGATGTAGCTCTTTTCATTGAGGAAACACTTGAGTCATGTGGTCAATTGCATGGATACAGGTGGTTGTACTGGAAAGCTAATATTGTGGCAGGATTTACCGTTTCTCAAGAAGATGTTCGATGTCTTCTTTCTATACAAGATCCGGAGGGAGTGTGTTTAAGGAAAAGAAACAGATTAAGACGAAGACTGTACACTAACAAAGGTCCAACAACAACAGTATTCAATTTCATACCGTTTAATGTACAAGATACAATTAATTTATCATGTGTTTCTGTACTGTTATAGTCAGCAGCGAAGGGACTTCTCTATGCAATAGCTTTACCAGGTTTGTTATCCAGTATGCTTCAATTCTGAATCAGAAGAAAAAAATCGTACAATCGATTTTTGAAATCGTACAAACGATTTTCTGAACCGTTCAAACGATTTTTTAAATCATACAAACGGTTTAACAAATCGTACAAAAAATTTTCTAAATCGTTCAAACGATTTGTAAAATTGTACAAACGATTTTTAAAAATTTTCTCTACATTGTCAAATTGGCACGATTCATGTATTATATGGAGGATAGCGCAAGTTTTTTGGATTGTTTGTTAGAATTACTCGTAGACTGTTACGAAAGCTCTAAACACAGCACACTTTAAGACTTCTAATTGTAGGGTAGTTATACCAGTTCAGTTCTTTATTCCGTGGGACGTACATCTCATAACCATTACAGTACAATATATATTTATCAATCACATACATAGTACAATAACATTTTATACACTTAAACTTGTGATTCATACATTCTATTATTTAGCTAATTGTTTTAAACATTCCGATCGTAATTTATTAGCATGATATATAATTATATTTCCCTAACTGATTTACGTTTTTGGTATTTGTACTACAAAATAGTTGTATTAGTTTAAAAACACTTGGTCTTCGGGAGTAGTAATGTTTGATGAACTTGTCTCTTAAATCATGAAAAACTGGACAAATGAATAAGAAATGAAATTCATCTTCAATATCATTTAAATTACATAAATCACATTTCCTACTACTCCTTATTAAGTTGTCATACCTTCCAGTTTCTATCTTTAAATTATGTGCTGAAAGTCTAAAACATGTAATTGCTTTTCTGTACTTTACATGAATAGGTTTCTTTAAATATCCTTGCAAACAAAAATAATCAACTTAATGCTTATATAACATGTATTTTGGTGATTTGCATACATCAGATAAAGCTTTCTGTCTAGAAACATCACGCATTCTGTTGTATGCAGTTAGAGTGATGTGTCTGCCCCTAGAAGAAAGATAGAAAAAAGGTTTTATTTCAGTTAATTACACAATTTGTAATAGATTAAAATATTCTTAGCATTATATTATACCAAGAACAAGTAATTGAATTCCTTATTTCTATTAATTTTCCAAATGTAAGTAAACAACAGTGATTTCTGTTCACGAAGTTCACTGATTTTGAACATTTTTCCTGCGGAAATAAGGCAGGAACCCTATGTTGAAAATGAACTAAAGAGTCTCAATACTGTATGCTCACATTTATATGATATATTTTTCATATTAAGTCCAGAAAGCACTTTTTGTTAGTGTTTAGAGATTTCTTCAACCTATTATAAAGAGCGCTGGATTATCGTAAAATTAAGGAAGCGTATTTGTGCCAAATGATATTTATTTTAAGCTGATAATTCCAACTTTGAAAAGTGGCTTATCACAATTTAAAATTAGGAAAGCTCAAAAGTTGTAATTACCAACTGTTAAGTTTGAAAATCAAGATTACAGTTGGAAAAGCCAAGTTTAAAGTTAGAGAAGCCAACTTTAAAGTTGGAAAAGCCAATATTAAAGTTGGAAAAAGCCAACATTTTGTCCACGGATAATCTCAAGAACAGTAATAGATATCAATGTGAAACTTTCAGGGATTATAGATCGTGATGAATTCTACCCAGTACGTGACATTTCGTTCGTCGTCAATACTTCCTGTCGTTAAGGCATGCGAATTTAAAAAGTAGCATTTTCTAAATTTTTTTTTCTCAATATTTTTTAAAAGATTTATTTTCGTTTTGTTAATAAAGACTCTTCCTATAATACTTTCTATACAATTAGTTTGAATATTTATAAATCCAAACTCTAGATATTAACATTTAAAAATCTGAAGCGGGTCCAAAATGGCGGCTGTCTCTGTCAACTTCGACATTTCGCAATAGGGGTTTACGGAGGCAGCCGAGCGTTTTCTTGAACGAAAGTAACAAGGATGAATGAAATTAAATGTAAAAAATTAAATGTAAATGAATACTTTGATTGTCACGTCGTAGTTACGTTGCACTTCTGTGTCAAACTAACGTCTTTTGTAATTGGTTCTGAGAACCAATTACAAACCGTTCTGGCTGGTTCTCAGAGTAGAAAAAGAAAAGACTAAATGTGCAAATGAAATAAGGTACCTAGATGTACTATCTATTGTTTTGTACCACGGAAAAACTGATCTTAAATCACAGCTATAAGTAATAGTTTTTTAAGAAAAAATATCGATGTATATAGTAAGTATAAAACTTAACCACTGTTTTTCCCAAGCACACTTGTGTCATATTAAACTAATGTGTATACAAAGTGTATATATATATAGAATGTGTACAATGTGTTAAATATAATACTTTCTAAACCTCGAAATGTAGACTCTAAGAAGGTTCTTTTTTCTTAAATTCATTGAAGATATCACACCTATTTAAAGGAACGTTCCAAAGAAAAAGCGCGAAGATTTACTCGTGGCGCGTCTAATTCTTAGATAGGTGTACTGTTGCAGAAGTATATACAAGTACATTTAGAGCAGTAATGGTAAGCGCGTCGGGAATAAAGGAGAAAAAAGCGCGTTGGATTTTCACGCTGGCGACCTGGGTAATAAACCCCCTTGTGACCAAAATTTTTTAATCACTATTCTAGCTCGATTACGTTGGGTTTTTTTTCAGAATTGGACGGAATACCTCTCGTTGCTCGCAACGAGATCGTTTCTAGTATTTAAAACCTCCTCAAACTGTAAAATATTCACTGTGAAGGTTCTGACAAATTATACATTTAGCTTTTAAGGTCAAACATATGAAGAAACTGTATTCAAGATTAAAATACATAAAACAATACAAAATAGGAGCAAAGCAAACACAGACCTTCTAAACATTGTAGGGGGGATCAGGTGCCATGGAGGAGTGAGCACCCCCTGCCGACAGGTCACATCCGCCATGTGCTCCTTGTCATAGTTTGGAAATAACGAAAAAAACCGTCGTCAGTTAAGCGTGTAAACAATGGAATAACAATTAGTACATGTATGAAAAACGCCAGTCAGCATTTGAATCAATGATAAATTGTATTTGCTAACAAGATCATTGTATCGACCGTAGAACTTACTAAGTGATAACTTTAAACGAGACTGCTGATATTCTTGCTTCATCAACTTGTTTGTCAATAATAAATCTCGTTTTAAAAAACGTTCATACGTAGAGCATGCTCTTTCATATCAAATCAACTGAGATATATAAACTACATATGCAGGTGATGCAGGTATATTGCTGCATAAGAAAGGGAAGTTAACGTTAGAAAAGTTAAAGTCGTCACTTTTATCATATAACTTGGTTGTTAGGTTACCATTAACGTCTTTTTCAAGTAAAATATCCAAGTATGAAACACATTTGTCAGACTCTGTGGTATCTTTTATCTCAAGCTCTCCTGGATACATCGTATCGACATAGGCATGGAAATGACCATTGTTAATTAACATTACGTCGTCGATATATCTGAGGGTCGAGTTGAAAGCCACAACAAGTGTTTTTTTTCCTTTCACGCATTAGATTTTGCATAAATTCTGCTTCATATGAATACAAAAATGGGTCTGCTAATAACGGGGCGCAATTGGTTCCCATGGAAATTCGAATAGATTGTTGGAAGACCTGGTCTCCAGAAACCACATGGATATTGTCAATCAGAAACTCAAGCATCTTCTTTGTGTCAACTTCAGAGTACCCGAGTACCTGTATGTGCAATCAGAATCTTTTTTTGCAAAATAGTTTTGCAAATAAAATTGCAGGTAAGTAAATTTACGAGTTCCATTTTTATGGAAGAAACAGTTGTCAATGATATAAAAAAAGCCTGACTTTTAATT